TATTCTCCAATAAAATGGACCGTGTGCACAGATCTGAATGCTTTATTGGAAGAACAGGGTATGGTGAAACTGAGGAAAATAAGAATACGTACAGTGAGATATAAGATACAAGTACAAGATAGACAGCATTAAGCTACTTCTGAACATAACAACAAACACAAGCAGCTTGAACCACACCAGCGATGCTCCATGTGGGGGACATAGGCCCATCTCCGGATGACCATGTGCCACAGATCAAAATGGCTGCTTCTGCCTTCTCCAGGTGCTGAAGGAATTCCAGCGTGCACCCAGACTGAATGCAGGCGGATGGTTAAATAGGCGGAGTCAGCTTCAGACAATACACTTGGGCCTATCTGTCTCTCTGGCCACTAGTTTGGGCTAGAGAGCAACAACAGTACAATAGTTACATGTTGTGGCAGGACAATCACCAGCCACTGTTTTTGCAGTATAAGCAAAAACGTGGTACACGACCCAGGAAATATGCTTGTAGACCTCCATCCATGCCTTGTAAGGAATCCATACCCACTTCTTCTTATTCACCGTTCTGCTTCTCTTTCCTTCCACCCCTCATGCTTCTCCTGTCCTTGTGATCTTGTCTGCTCCCTTCGCTTGAAAAACACCATCTCAAACATGAAACAAAATGGTGATGCTCCTATTGTCCTCCACCTTAGGCTGAACTTTAAAGTCAGCTTGGCCTGTGCCTTGAAGTCTTATCAAATCTTCACCAGAGTCCTGCTCATAAATAAGAACAGTATTCATGGAGAAATTCTTCTGGGTAAACAAGCATGACGTATTGATTCTTGGATTTGTGAAATTTTGTCCAATGCAATTCTTAAGAACGGAGTGTTTTCTTGAGTAGCTGGAGCATTTGCCATATATTTTTGTGAAATGGAATGTTTGGAAGAGAATGAATGACCTCGTGATGATGACAAGCTTTAGTTCCCATGGAGAATGACACCTACCAGTAGTGAACTGGCAGGGCACTCTGTGTTCTCCAAATGGTCGCCTGCCTTGGAGCCAAAAATACTCTTGGCTTGAGCAGATCCATCTTGGCCTTTCTCTAATCTTCATTTGGAAGAGGCTCAATTGAAGCTCAACTTGTGATCTTGTTCAACTAAAGTGTGATCCTTCACTGTGTCAATTTAATGATGCTCTGGGTTTTACATTTCCAGTGTCTACCTCCAAAAAATATTGTGATACTTTGGTGGATCTGGAAATACAAAACATCCCTTCCTAGAGCCATGATTTAGGGGGTTGCCAAATAGCAAACGGATTTAATTCATTAGTTGTAGTAGAACGCAACATTTCCCCTGAAATTCCACAAGATTAAATAATTGGTAAATCACCCATTGCACAAAACTATAATGTTTTTTTNAAGGTCCCTTCCAACTCTGTTATTCTATTCTATGGGGTTTTTTTTTCAGTAAGACATTATTAGTTTCAGAAGAAAGAAAATTTTATGTATTTAAAACATTTACATAGCCACCCAACTAAAAAAAAATAAGTGTAGTTTGCAGCCAATAAAACAGCATAAAACAATATAAAAGCAGAAAAACTTGACACCACCATGTATTCACATTCTCATACCACCTTGCCCTATCCCAACACTTGGCAGAAGAGCCAGATTTTAAGTGCTGTCTGGAAGGATTAAAGGGTTAGGTCTGTTGGACATCAAGAGGGAGAATCAGTGGTGGGATCCTGATGGTTTAACAACCAGTTCAGTTATTGCATGCTCTGTGCACATGCACAGTTTTAACACAATTTACCTTCCATGTTATTTCTTGGGAGTAACACGGCTGAGGCGCGGCAATCCGCTCTGCCATGCGAATCAGCTGAGAGAATATAAGAAAGTAAAGCACAGGGGTGGGCGGTCCCTCCTGATCATCAGAGCAAACTGGTTTGCTCCCCAGCTGATCGTCAGAGCTACGGTTTGCCTGAACCAGTCAGAACAGGCTGAATCCTACCCCAGGGGACAGTGTCCCATAGGGCAGGGGCTGCAGTGGAAGAGGCATGCTTCCAAAGATCCACAGATGGTCATGTTTAAGGGAAAGGATCTACCTACTTTATCTATGGTGAGACAGACAGGTGTCCTTGAAGAGAGGCAATCCTGTAGATAATGATTGACATTATACTAGCCAACTGAACATATCAAATGCCAAAGAGCAAACAAACCTTTAAAAAAAATGTTACATTTTTCAGGCCATAATTCAGATGATGACCTGTATGCTAATTGCTCTGCAGCACAACTTTCCAACAAGCAGCACAGTAAGTTAAGCTCTTTTCCTTTGATTCTGATCCTGAGCTTGGGATGGGAATGATCCTCAAATATTCAGGGTTATTTTGACAGAAGAAGATGGCTATGAAATCAAAAAGTTCTATTTTAAAGAGAGGTTTTATCTCCAGTCCTTGAGCCTCAAAATAACATAATGTGAGAAGAAGTACTGACTTCTTTGGTGCTACTGAAGATGTTTCTTGGAAGATAAGCAGTTGTTTCATCCTGAGGCAGCTTATCCCCTCTATCTTTTGCTGTCAGTACAGAGAGATAGCAGTTTTCAGATTGAACTTTTATTGCCCCAATTTGAACAAAGCATTTGCTCTACTATTGACCCATGCCCTCCAGTAAGTTGGTTTTAGAGGATGATTATTTCAATGCGGAAATTCTGCCTTTTCTTTCTTTCTAACCTGATGCAGCCTAGAAGCAGCTCTGATTTTTTTTGTTCTTTCTTCTGGTTTCTTTTCTTTTTTTTAAATTTCCTGCAGTGTCTGGGTCAGATAGCTTAGAGAACAGTGAAAATGCATCCACTAACAGCTCCCCTCTAAACCTGAAAGGTATGATATTTTCACAACAATATTCATGTACCACAATCCCTTAATTATTAGACAGGAATGTTCATAAATTAATTCTTAATCTTTTGGGTAAGGCTTGCATTTTTGTTCCTGTTCCGTAGAAGGCAGATTCTGTAGAATGCAAATATTAAATCAGTATTTGTATATATGACTTAGGATGCCCCAAATCCTTTTATAAGAATGGGTCAAATATTTTTAAAAACAATTTTTAAAAGGTTATTTTATATCTTTGAATTTCTTGATACAGGATCTTATGATTATATTCGTGACAGATCAGAAAGCTTTAGCAGTGAAGATATGGTGCTAATGAAAAATATGCCTGGCACATCTAGAGATGGTCTGTTTTGTTCCACTTCTTCTCCAGTTGTGGGTTCAAACACTAAGCAGAGTTCCTCATTTAATAAGAATGGTGCATTGTTATATGATACATCTCAGAAAGGCAATCATGTACAGAAGCAATCTGTTAAGCACCGATCTGCCTCTCCGGGTAATGAGATGGTAACCTTAGAAGAATTCCTGGAAGAAAGCAACAGATTATCTCCAATGAAAGTAAGTAAATTATACAGAAAACACATTGTTGTCTCTATGGGGATAGAAGATCATCAAAGGTACATTGCAGGATATGGGACCCTGATTGTTATTGGAACACATAGATTTATCCAGCAGTCAGACCTGGTTATCCCACAGTCTGAATAAACTTTTGTGTTCCACTAACAAGTTAGTCAGACTCCCTCTCTCTCTCTCTCCCTCCCTCTCCCTCCTTCTCTCTCCCCCCTCCCCCTCTCTTCATCTCTCCCTCCCTCCCTCCCTTCTCCCTCCCTCCCTCCTTGAGTGTGGTTATTAGGTTCTGTTGATAAAAATTCATGGAAATTATTAATATTGAATGATATATAAGGCAGGGGTGTTAATCTCAAGGGATGTGGGCTGGATCTGGCCCACACAGTGCTTAAATCCGGCCCATGGGACTGGCCTGGAAATAGCAAAGAACTGGCCAGGGGTGCCTCTGGCAGTCAAAATGGGGCATAGGGCCCCCCATACAGTGTCCCTGCACCCCATTTTTGGCCTGGACGGCCTCCTGCAGCACTCTGATGGCCAAAACAGGGCACAGGGGGCCTTTGCGGGGGGCCTCCACACCCCATTTTTGGGTTTGGTCAATGGAGTGCTACAGGAGGCGTCCATCTGTCCCCCCCCCCATGCCAACCCGCAGAGAACTACAATGCTCATTCAGCCCTTGAAAAAATCCAGTATGACACCCTTGTTATAAGGTACCCACTTCTATGTACAATTAAAATGAACTTGTATATATATTAATTTAAGATTGCAATCCCATTGTCACTCTAGGCATACTCAGGTGTACTATCAGACATTAATCTCAATATGGTTAGTAGGCAACTCAGTTCTTAAGCCTAGTTTATATATAAGCTTATATTCATTCAATATTAATATAATATTTTAAAACAAGCAGCCTTAGGAATATACTAAACTTTCTGCTGCCTTACATTCTAGAGATGCATTCTAAGATTGTTTAACATATTGAAAAGTTGGTTGTCCAGTCATACCTGTTTTTACAGGAATCTGCTGAAAATAACTTCAGCTCTAAAATATCCATTTGGCCTGGATTTCATATCAGATTGTTCTATTGTGATTATACAAGCATTTTGTTTAAAACATTTTATATTGTCCTCTTTTCTGCTTGAAAATTATACTACTCAAGACCATCAAAATTTTTGGATTGTGTCTGTGTATCTGCTTGCAAGTAAACTGCCATGGATACTTAATGCATAAGTGCAGCTAGTTGCAAATAACTTATTTGGTCTGACCCTGCATTAAAACCGTGACCCAACAAAAGCGTGAACGTCATAAGCGCGCCAACAAAACCGCGGCGCTAAAACCGCGATGTCAAAAGCGCGTTGACAACAGCGTGCCGACAGAAGCGCGCTGTAACCTAACCCTAAACCTAACCCTAAACCTAACCCTAAACCTA